GAGCCCGCCGGCCTCGCGTCCTCCTGCCTCGGCATCCCCGTCCCGGCCTGGTTGCTGCAGCCCCCTGAGTCATTCACTAGCCCTCGGCTACTCAGCGTGGCCAGCACCTCACACGCAGCCGTGCATCCACCGCAGCAGCTCCGTGCAGGGGGGCTGGGCCTTGGAAGCTGAACGTTTCCCCAGGCAGGTGGCATTCGGGAGTCTTTCTCCGTTGATTTGGGCGGTCCTGCAGCCCCCCTCGGACGCCCAGCGGCTGCCCCAGCCGGAGGGGTGCTGGTGCGGTGCCTCCTGGGGATGGAGCTGAGGCTGGAAGAGAGAGACCGGTGCCCTCTCGCCCGATAGAGCAGCACCGCTGCCGGCTGCAGCGAGCTCCGGTGGGCTGCAGCTGCCACGGGGGAGGGATCGGGAGCTCAGCGTAGGTCCCTCGAATTTGGAACTGAGTAAGAGCTGGTAAAGCTTTATACTCTCAACCATTTCCAGCTGCAGCTTCCATTGAATGGAGCTTCCAGGAGGCAGCTCCAGTCCATACCCCGTGGTTATTAAAAAAACACCAACTCCAGCGCTCCTCCAGCGCTAGCTGGAACATCAGCCCTTAATGAGATCATTTAGGAAATGGGCTGCAGAGATCCGGCAGAAGCAGCTGCATTTATGCAGGATGAAAAGTGCCAACGCAGGAGACTCAGGGCAGTTCCTTTGCTAGCCTGCAGCCCCGGGCAGCCCACCAGTCTCCGAGAGAAAACGGGAGCCATTCGCTGGCTGGTTCCATGCCCCCAAAAGCAGCCGGGCGTTTGCACGAGCGTTGTCTTGGGCGGCAGAGCTGCACCCTCCAGGTCTGGCGAGTCTGGTGTAGCCAGAGCCGGATCGTTGGGGCTCAGCGCTGGGGGAGTTTGCTGCTTCGTGTCCCCCGCACGCTGCCGTCGGCGGGGCTCTCGCCCTTCCGGGGGATTTAGTTGGGCCGTGGATACCTGCGCCCCAAATGTGGCGTAAATCACAGCCCCTCCAGAGCTGGCCTGCGCTTTCTGCTGTAAAATCCTGCAGAATTGGTTGAAATACATCAAGCCTTACCGAGAGCAGAGGCTGCTCCCGGGCAGCACCCTATCCTCAGCGGGGACTGATGCAGCGAGGTGGGTTTTTTTTTTTTCAGCCTGCAGCAGGGCCAGGCCTGCCCGTGTCCTGCCTGTCCCCGAAATGAAAGACCTGTCTAACTCCGGATTTACAGCACGGAGCCAGCTATGGAGAAATTCCCAGGGAGCTTATATATTGCCTGGAGGGGCCCATCCATAAACCCCTCGTCAGTAGGGAGCACATTATCTCCCCTGTGCCATGAACTGCGGCAGAGCCGGGAGATCAGTCATCCCCACAAGGGCTGTAATGACAGAAATCCAGCAGTCGCTGCGTCTCTGACAGCGTGAAAGGAAAATGAGGTGAGTCTGTTGGACATAAATTAGACGGTGGTTCAGTCCTGGGAGATCACAGACCCGCTGACAGGGAGGAAACGGAGCGATCGATCGGCCCCGTCAGCCCCCCGCGCGCCCAGGGCCGCACGCGGTGTCGGGGATCCCGTTAACAACCACCGGGGGGGATGCACGAGCAGCGAAACCTGCCGCTCGCCGCCCTCCGAGCTCGTAGGACCCGGTGCTTTGACGCCAGGAGAGCCGGCACCACCGCTGCTGCTTGTGGCACGACCAGCCCGGCCTGGATTTCAGAGCGGAGACGTGGTTGTGAGCTCCTGGCCTGGAACCGAGGGCTGGTGTTTCAGAAACGAGCCTTTGTTTTCCGTTGCTTCCAAGTTCAAGCTTCAGCCTCC